AATTAACTAATTCTATGGAAAAACATGGTGGTTTCAAAAGCATTTCATTATGTGCTTGCACTGTTTTCATTTTCTGTCCACTTTAAAATTAATTTGGGAACTGTGAACTTAGTTTAACTAATGTGTCAAGGCAGCCGAGTTTTAATTCTTTTGGGGGATATATGGATTCCATATACCCATATATTCCTCCTTTAAATTCAGTTGTTCTCAGACGTTATTGGAACATAAAGATGAGAACTGCTGAAATTTGCAAACAAAGAGAACATGAAAAATGAAAAAAAATAATATAAACATATGGAGTATGGCTGGGTCTGGCTGGTTTTGCTACTTTGCTTCTCCCACCCCTGCAAGCCATTTCATCAGTTAATTAGAGATGTTGGTAGGATTTAGCAAGAACAGAAACATCTTTCATACAAGGTTTGCACTAAATATTCCAAGAATACCTGTTCAGTGTGCAACTGGGACACAAAGTTATTTGAAAGCTGGGTGTGCTTAGGAGCCAGCAGGGGGCATAGACAGTGGGGAGATGGTGGGGCAGGGTCAAGTAGCCTGACTCCTCCCCTTTGCCTCACCGCACATTGCCCCCTGCTACCTGTACCATCATCACCTTCTCCCCAGCACCTGCCTCCCTGCTACTTACACCATCCCCATGCCTGCACTCCTTAGCCTGCTCTGCCCCCCACCGCCTACCCTCTGGCTCTGGCACAGCTCTGGTTCTGCTCCATCCTTGTTGCTATGGCCCCAGCCCAGCCTGGCAGCAGTGGTAGCAGCAGCTTCAGCCCAAGCTCTGGAGCCTGGAGCTGCCACCATGTGTTACCAGGCTGGCCTGGGGCAGGAGCAATAGGGCTGGAACCACAGCAGCTGCCTGACATCCACCACCTCCTACTTGAATCCAAGATGAGGGGTTTTCCTCCCCGTATTAAATGAGGGACCGGGGTGCAGGGGGCCAGGGATGACCTCATCTTGGATTTGAGTAAATACAGTAATGAGTTGCCAGGTAAAGATCTTCTTCAGTGATTCGCAACCTTTTCAGACTCAAGGCATGCTTCAGAAATGCTCACTCTCAATTTTTACTTTTTTTTTTTTTTAAACTACAAAACAATAATAGAACACTTCTGTTGCAAAGAACTGAGAAAGACCTCAGCAGGCCAGAGTATTTCCAACTATGAATTCCTACTGGAAATTTCTGGTTTTATCTTGTGAATCAGATTTGCATAGTTAACAGTATTACCATTATGTGGCATCCTCCGCACCTTGAACGGATCTCAAGGTATCCCAGGGTATTGTGGCACCCTGGTTGAGCATCAGCGTTCTAAGAGCTCCTTTTCAACCTCGTTTATGCTAGTTTTTGTAGATGAAGAAGTTTCTGATGGTTGTTGATAACAAACTTTTAGCTATTTTCATAATTTCTAACTCGTGAGTTTAAAAAATAACCCTCTTCAGATTTTACTTTGCTCTAATGCAGTGGTTTTTAACCCATGGTCTGCAGACCCATGTGGGTCCACACACTATGTCTAAGGGGGTCTGCAAAAGAGGACTACGATCAATTAAAAGCATGTGAATATGCACTCTTACCATCCAAAGGAGCCTGGCTTCTCCATTTGAAATTTTTTTTTAGGGTTCTGCAAATACAAAAAGGTTGAAAACCACTGCTCTAATGCATAAAGCTGCAAACCCACTAGCTATCTAAGGACAGAATGTCCCCTGTGAAGCTGAAGATTAAAACATTGGCATTTTAAACATCTGCCAATCTTTTTGCATTTATTGAGAATGTGACTGAATTTGAATTCCCATGGATAAGGTAGGTTTATTATTTAAGTTGAAGCATTTTGTCTCAAGTTTTCTTTTTTTTCTAATTTTTTGCCACACATCATCTCAGTTGTTATTTTTAGATGCTTCTATACTTCAGGGTTTATTTTCTTTTGTTATTAAGTTGCACAAAGAAATGTGCATCTTAATTCCATTTATATATGGAATGACGGAGACCTGCAGAATACTTTTCAATAAACTATTTACATGTGGAGATCAAGGGAGTTAAGAAGCCAATACTGAACTTGTGCTTGTATGAACAAACAGACGGCTATAATAAAATGCTCATCTTATTTTGGTAATTACATTCGAGTTCCCAGGAGCTTTGAGAACTTTTGACTCTAACCAGCTTTTTGACAATCTTCTCCATATTACTGGGGAATATGAAATACAATGACTGGCAAATTGAAATAGATTTTATAAGGACACAGACAACATGCTGTAGAGAGTGGCAGGGGACAGGTTCAGTGTATAAGGCACCTGCTGCAGGTTTACTTGAAATGTAGCACAATTCTGAAAAAAAATATATTTTTCAGAATTGTGTTACATTCCCTCTAGCTGAGGGAAGGTACCAGACCAATATCCAAATGAAAAGCCTCACCCCCACACTCCAGACCTATATCCTGAGCCACTCAGGGACAGAATCTATCAGAAGCTTTACTGCACAAGGGAAGAACGTGCCCAGTAGGTCTAACAGTACTGTACAAAGAAGCACACACCACATGGCAAAATGGAGAAATCATTGTTAATATAAATGACTGATTGGTTGACTCTTCAGCAGTATAAGTCTGTACAGCCCTGTGGTACAAAACTCTATTCAAAATCCTGGTCATCTCCCCTGAACACCATGGGTCTTGCTACAGCACAGAAAATAAATGCTAGTTAGCCAAAAATACGTAGTGAAGATTTCTTACATCTCCCTCCCCAGCTGTTGTCTGATCTAGTGAAACAGGCTGCCCACAATAAACTTTATGGTCTGTAACTGAGAGGTAGGACTACTGTGCTCTTTTGTCATTCACTTTAATCATTACCTGTGCTAGTGTGTGTGTGTGTGTGTGTGTGTGTGTGTGTGTGTGTGTGTGTGTGTGTGTGTGTGTGTGTGTGTGTGTGTGTGTGTGTGTGTGTGTGTGTGTGTGTGTGGCGTGAGAGATATAGCAAAATGTGGAAAAACATGGATTTTGTGTGGCATGAGACCCATAGGTCAGAAAAATGCTCTTCTAGGAGCAAAATACCTGAAGCAAGAACAGCAGGAGAAGAGGAAGAGACATTGAAGAAAAAATAGAAGCTGCAGCTAAAATACAAAGTTACCAGGAGGTTTCCAGTAAAAAAAAAAGGAGCAAAGATAGAATTAAAAAATGAACGCTTGTGTAAAAGGGAGGGTGAGGCAGGTAACAGAGGAAGAACAGAGAAAAAAATCCTAAAAGTAATACTTTGCAACAATAGCTAACCTTTTTTACTAGTTTTTTAAAAACAGAAAGGAATGTAATGGGAGGGATGTCAGGAACAATCCACACCCGTCTCCAGAATCATCTCCTTTTCTCTTCATCATGTAGCATATAAACCCACCCTATTCAATACAGGCCAATTCACCTAAGCACAGATGTTAACTAAAGTCTCCTCAATACCAGGAATCATGCACTGAAACCTTAACTTGGTCTCATTTTTGCCTGTCTACACCATGGTGCCCAGGCTATACAGTCCCCAAGTCTAGTAATATTGAGTGGAGTGATTTGATGCGTTTGGAAAGGACAGCTTGATAAAGGGTTGTGTAGAAGGGTAGCTAAGGTCAACTGCAGCAGGGCAGTTAAAAGGGGTTGAAGGATCACAGAGGGATGTTCAAGTTGTAGAGCACTGCCTGCAGTACATAGCAGAATGAGGTGTACTTGTGGGTGGAGAAGACAGAGTTAGGTCTAATTCCTACTTCCTGTTAGCTTATTTTGGTGGGGGAGGTTGAAAAACGTACTGTATCTATAGCAACTGTAACTGCTTTGCAATGAAGCTTTAATGCATTAATTTCCTAGGTTGCTGGGGAATACTTGGGAGTGGGGATATATCAATGGGGGAGCAGATTTTTCAGCCATCATTCTGTTGTAGGATAAAATCTAACATAAAAGGGTATCTTTTGACAGGGATTTGACACGTCTCCCATCTGATTTGCATGTGTACCACAGCTACTCAGCATACACCTCTTCAAAGGTTTGCATGGAGAGAGCATATCTGATAGAATCAGTCTGCAGCACAAAGACAGGCAGAGAGGAAAAGCATCAACCAGTCCTCTTTCAAAGGTTTTCTAGTAAAAATAAATCTGAGAATTCAAACACAGATAATTCAGACATCAGAACAACTACATGAAAAGTCATCAGCAATCATCCAGCCACTTGCACAGAACAAAGGACTATACCTTAGTGGCTCCCATGCTGTGGGCTGCAAAGTCACTTAAAAGTGATTCACAGCCAACTGTGAATTGTACCACATCCCTCACCATCTTTTCAATTAGAAGTATGATGATATGGGTAGATGTGGATGGTTGACTGTGAGACTTGTTTAGATCTGCCTGTTGTCTGTAAGTCCAAGAGGTTTGGTAACTATTGGTATACAGGTTTCCCTCACTTTATGCGGGTTCTGTATGTGCAAATTCACTCTTATGCGACAACTCTTTTTATACCAAAAATTCATTATATGCAAGGTAAATTCACTCTTATGCCATCAGTGCGGTGGAAGTCCACAGTCAGCTGGTTTGTATGGTGCATTGTGGGAGTGACGCGCACCAAAATATCTCCTGGATAAATCTACACTCCTCACTCATTGTCTGTGACGTGTTTCTATAGTTGCCATCCCCATTTATGGTAACATTCACCATCACCCTGTGCTTGTGTGTACTGTCTGCTGTTGGTGAGTACCAAAATTGTCTTGTAAAAGTGGTAAAAATGGGTCTGGGGGTCAGTACAGTCAAGGTCTTGGAACATATCCCTATTTGTTACGTTGTAAAGTGGGTTCACTTTATGAGAATTCAAGTTATGCACGGTTTTCCAGGAACACACGTATAACATAAAGCAAGGGAAACCTGTACTTGACTTTAGGCATACCTATCTATATATAGACACACACACACACACACACACACACACACACACACACACACACACACACAAAGAATAAAGAAGCTAGAGTAAGTTAAACAGTTTGACATTATCACAGGTTGGTAGGTTTATTAAACTGGCATATATCTTCAATCTGTCATTCTATATGAATTTTTTAAAATTCTATTATTGCATAAAAGATTTTTTTCAATTAAGAGTTGGGGAAAATGGTATTTTTGTTTACTTTTTGCACTTGACACTTTGTATATGTGGTTAGATCCATTTGTTTGTGTGGGTCTGTCACGTACGAGGGGAGAAAAAACGCAACACACAAGAATAAAACCATGACAATTAATACGATTTCAGGACACATGAAGCAAAAACCTATTTTTTCTAAGCCGAGTAAATGTCAAGTGATTGTCTCTAAACAGCTACAGTAATCAGGCTTCAGCATTTCCTCTAGCTTTTCTTCCATAGGTGAAAGTTTGTTGCCATTAAAAGCAATGTCATGAACACAAGATATTAAAATCAGTTGTACTGTGGGTTGCTTGTCGTTTGCTTGAAAATGTTAGTCCTTCAGAATAAACCAGAACTAACAGGTAGATGTCACATTACCCAAAGCCAGCAACATTAACAAAGAAATCCAGTCTATTCTTTTCCTTTTTTAAACAAAGATTACAAAATTGAATTTTATTGAGTTTCACACAAGATGAACTTATAAAATTGGTACAGACTGTCATTTAACAGAAGAAAAGAAAATAAATTCCAAGCTTCCTTTAGCAACTGCTAAATAACTGAAAAAAATGTTACACCAAATTCACAGATAATCTGAATTTAAGTTTAATGTTTAAATTGCTCAATGAATATAAAATACATCCAAAATAAAAGAATTTTAGTTTATTCCCCCATACAATCCTCCCCGAATAGTCTCCAGTGCTTTTGGCCATTATTCCAGGTGCTGTTGGTGGGAGCAAAAGATGGAGAGTGTAGCAACCAGCTCCTTTTAAAGCAGAGAAAGTTGCCCTGTATGATAAACCCACCTTGCACTGCAACTTCTGCTCAGCCTCATAACATTCCTGTACATTCATCTCCACACTGTCATAGTAATACAGGTTTTAGGAAGTAGCACATATTCTGAACTTCCACGTCCTTTTCATAAACCAGCCCTTAAACTCTGGCTTTTCCACTCTGTGACAATTCTAAAATTAGACCACTTCTGTCATTTGCCCAGTACTGAAATATTTGCAGTTTCCAAAAAACAAAATAAATCCCAGTCGCTATAATTTAACTGGAATTTACTTAAATCTTTGAAAGATTTGTGAGGAGATGTTAATGTTGCATTTTAATAATGTATGCATGTTTCATTACAAGATAAAGATTGTCTTGGGATGCTGTTCTCTAGCTTAGTTGTTGAGCCGAAACGTAATTCTTTCTTAATTTAAGGATAAAATGTGTTCTAGATTTTATCCCCCAACCCTGCCCCCACACCAGAAATTAAGATGCATTTAAGCACTTCATAACAAAAGCTATTCAAATCTATTTAATTTTGCTTAAAATTCCTCAGTTAGAATGGGCATGTCTGATTTTCCGTACAACTATATCTATTGGCATTTTTCCAGCCAAGTTAATACATAGATGACATTTTTATCAAACAGTTTAAACCAAAAGGCAGTGTAGATCTTCTGTACTAATTCCAGATAGCTCCAGTGCAACAGCAGCAGAAGTTGCTGCAAAATTAACACTGCCTTTCCTTCATATAATGACATGCCACTTTGAAACATTTCTTAAGTGCAACAAAAACCCTCAGCTTATATAAAAGCCTTTGTATAACGTTTATAAAACATATGGAGTTTGCTTTGCAGAACACACCATAATTGAACAGAAAAATGATAATACTGTTTGCTCAGTTATGCAGAACCTTCACTCTTTTTTTATATTTGTGATCCATTTTCCTCACTGGTTTAGTATTTATATAAAATGCTATGCAGTAGAGGTCTCTTAATTTAAAGATAGTATTTTATTCTGATTAGTTCAGATACATCTTCAAAGATTTTTCCGGTGACAAGAATAATTATCTTGACTTACTGTTTAATCTGCCAGTGCTGCTTTATGCATTGGCTTTTAAGTATACTGTTTGCAGCTGTTTATGAAAATAACATGACTGGAAAGATAAGCTTCCTGTTAGAGCTGTCATACATTTCTTGGTGTATCCTTATACTGGAGAGACCTTCAAGAAAAGTGATACGTTCTGGAAGCACAATGTCACAATGCAAATGGGATTTTGATTTTTTTCAGTCTATATCCAGGAAAGGGATACTGTAACTGTCAAATTGACAAGAGGCTCTCATGATCCATCACATTTTCCACAGAGCCAAGTTAAATATTTGTTACTTGATCTGACCCAGCTACCAAGCCAGGTTACGTGCAGAAAGAAATTACTATCTGTTTGCCATTAATAATTTAAGTTTTTTAATAAATATTTAAGTGCCTTTTTTGGCAACTGTCCATAGTCTGGTAGCATCTGCAGCCCCAGTCGCTCAGTATCCTTAGAACATCTATCCATAAAATCTAGTCAATTCTGTTTCCACAAATGGTAAACCTGTCTATCTCCAACAAATCTTTCTTTGAAGATCTATGTTTCAATTCTGAACTGTCTTGGCTTATATCTTTTTCTTCTCCATCAGGAGTTGTCAGGAATTGATCAGAATTGCTTGTCACAAGTAAAGATGTAGTATTTTCTTTCTGATGTACAGGCTGATTGGTAACTGATGTAGATAAACTTTCGTCTGTAGAAATTCCTGTTGGAACAACAACAACAACAAAATCAGCATTTAAAAATACATTAGTTAATGGTATAGGCAGGTCAACACACTCAAAACAGATACATCTTTCATCAAAGATGCATTGAGGGCCGATGAAGTTAGGCATTGAGACTATGCGAAGTAGCAGAAAAGCAAATTAATCATTTTTGGAAACCAGGTAATTTTACATGGTCAACCCATTTCATTTTGTTACCACTGATACAGATTCTTAAGCCTCTCCTAGATGTTACATTTCTTAAATGTGTTCACTGTGCAATAAACAAAAAAATGCAGAAGTCCTTATGGGTGGTTTGCATCATTCTTTAATTTCAGTGTGGCACTAGCAATTGGATATCTGGGAGTTCTCTGATCCCCAGCTTCCTACATCCTGATGAAGTAGGCAGCTGCACAACTGAAACTAGACAAATTTATCCAAGATCCCTAAAACTGCACCTCATGTCATGCACATCAGTCATGGCAGGACACCCAACTTTTGGGATCCAGAATAAAACGTGTCAGGTCCCAATCAGGTGACTAAATTAACATCTGCTTGGGCTCTTAACTGTCATTAGGGCCCATGGCTATTTGGATGCCCTCTATCCAGCAAGACATCCATATTACTAATGCAAGAAATAATTTGCACATTAATTTAACAGAAGCTCAGGTAGGGCAAAGTGCATCAGCAAAGTGATCTACTTTTAAAAGTATATCATATCAAGGTACCATAAGAGACTATAAAAAGCACTTGCTTTTTACAGTCAATCACTGCAAGTGGTACTGGAAACCATATGCTCATTTGTTTGGTTTTGCTGATTTGTATAGTACTTTGTCACTCCACCAACTGCATGGTAAAGTCTGTTTCTAGTAAACATTAGCATCAGATCCAATTTCTATAGAAAAATCTAGATGCATGGATGCATTTAAATCCTAGATATCTGTACTGACAGCTGGATGGCTGAGCTTTATCCAGTAGAGAAAACAACATGGTAAATAGGAACAAATACATTGAGTTGTATAACATTTGCTCTCAAAATAACTCCATGAAAGCCCGATTTGCTAGGATTTCTAACTATTGAATAGTGGCTTTATTAACGCAATTCTTAACACATGCCATTTTGATACCTATATTGTATTTATTAAAATATATTTTTGAAAACAGCTGAAAACAGGAAGTTGGCAAAGAAAATGCCAAGCTTTTTTGGCTTTTAGAAACAAGATAATTGATGTATTTTGGGGGAATTTTTAGAAAACATCTGGCATAGATTGAAAAGATACATCAAACCCAGCCAAGAGAACATTATCCGACAGAAGCAATAAACATCAAATTAGGAGTTTGCAGCTGAAATGTTGCAAGCAATGTATAAATTACTAGTACCAGAGGCATTATAAAACATTTCTCCATCATATTGCCTCTTCTGGTCATTTGTAATATGCTGTCTACTGCTTTTAGTCCAAATGTTTGAAGTAATTTATTAAATTCCTATATAAATAAAACACAGTGTACACACATAAAGGAAATAGATGCATAAAGATATTTTTTCTGAAAGGTTTCAAATGTGAAGGTCAGTATCTTCCTTCAAATTGTTTCTCTGTGGAAATTGTTTTGGTTTACCGATTTTTACCAGTGCAGTTAGTGACATGATTTAGGGATAGCTGACAGACTACCTAAGGCATCTACATGCCATATTTACTCAAATACAAGATAAGCACCTCCCCCCTGCCCCCCGCAACTGGCATGGGGAAAAAAACTCTTCATCTTGCAATTACATTCAAGGAAATTTCAATAAATACAAATGTCTATCATTAAACTGCTTCCAAAAGCAGCGTGTGCTCAGCACTGAAAATTAACTGTAAAGTTAATTAAATGCAGGCAGCACTGAGCATGACTATAAAACACACATGGCCCACATTATGCAAACATGCTGACTGGAACCTACTATAATGATAGGCTAGTGCAACCCATCTGAATAAGATGTATGGTAGCACCCATTAAGTGCAGTCATCCTCTTGGCCAACTCTTTTTCAAGTCATGGCAAGCCACAATATTGCATACCCAGAATTCCTGTTGGCCCCTCTCCCAGGCTGGTTCATATTAGTGTGGCCCTGCCCTCCACAAACTGAAGCCAGACAAGGTTGCCCTGCACCCCATCTTCGCATACATTTTTGGAGCATCCCAGGACTTTTGACAAGAACACTGGTTTCAAATCATGAGTGGGGACTAATTACATGGATCCTGAGCATTGAGCAATGCTGAGCTGTGGGGTCACTGGAAAGGGAAGGGCGACACTAACCAAATTGGCGAGAGAGAGGCTTGACAGAGGGATGTTGGGTGAACAGTACGCAATGTCACGGGTCATCATGGCTTAAAATGCTGTTGACTCTAATGAGTCCCAGCCCAATGAACTATATAGTAAATCATGAGCCTTTTGCCTTTGGACCAATACCATACACAATTTATACCACATATAAGTAGGGGTCAAAGTGCTGTTCAAAAGTGTTTATGGAGTACCCATGCTAAAAGTTGCAGCAGTTTGAAAAAAAGGTAACAGGCATCAATTCTGGATGAAGTGTATGGGTATTATATGCAAATTGCTATAGCCATTTTTAATTTCAGGGTTATCGTTTCATAGTAGCTAGGGTCAGGAGGGACCTGAACAGATCATCTAGCCTGATCCCCTGCCACAGGCAGGAATGAATGCTGGGTTCACAAGACCCCAGACAGGTGATCGTCCAACCTACTCTTGACTTTGCCCAAGGTAGGGGCGAGGACCACTTCCCTGGGAAGTTGGTTCCAGATTTTGGCCACCCTAACTGTAAAATATTGCCTTCTGATCTCCAACCTAAACCTATTCTCCATCAGCTTATTACCATTGTTCCTCATCACCCCAGGTGGTGCTGGGAAGAAAAGAGTTCTGCCTATTTGCTCTTGATCTCCCCTGATGAGTTTGTAGGCAGCCACCAGGTCCCCCTCAGCCTCCTCTTGCTGAGGCTGAACAGGTTCAGGTCCCTCAGTCTCTCCTCGTAGGGCCTGTCCTGCTGTCCTCTCACCAAGTGGGTGGCCCTCCTCTGAACCCTCTCCAGGTGGCCACATCCTTTTTGAAGTGCAGAGCCCAGTACTGGACGCAGTACTTCAATTGCGGCCTGACCAAAGTCGTACAGAGGGGGAGTATCACTTCTCTGGACCGGCTTGAGATGCACCTTTGGATGCATGACAAGGTATGGCTGGCCTTGCTGGCTGCAGTCTGGCATTGACGGCTCATGATCATCTTGGAGTCATTAATGACTCCAAGATCCCTTTCTGCCTCTGTGCTTTCAAGAAGGGAACTCCCCAGCCTGTCTGTATGCTGCGGGTTCCTTCTCCCAAGGTGCAGCACCCTGCATTTGTCTACGTTGAATCCCATCCTATTCTCATCTGCCCACTTTTGTAGTCCAAGTCTAGTTGTAGCCTCTCTCTCCCTTCAAGTGTGTCCACCTCACCCCACATCTTAGTGTCATAAACAGTGAGGACCCGAGGACTGAGCCCTGGGGTTCCCCGCTGCTCACATCTCGCCAGGCTGAGTATGACCCATCCACCACTACTCTCTGGGTGCGCCCCATCAGACAATTTTTTATCCATCCAGCTGTGTAGGCATCAATGCCACAGTTGCCTAATGTATTAATGAGAATGGGGTGAGAGACAGTGTCAAAGGCCTTCTTAGAGTCTAGAAGAACTATGTCCACAGCGATACCATCATCCAAGGATTTAGTTACTTGGTCACAAAAGGCAATCAGGTTGGTCAGGCAGGACCTGCCTTTGATGAACCCATGCTGGTTGCCCCTGAGCATGATCTCCCCTGCAGGCCCCCCACAGATGTGCTCCTTGATGATTTTCTCTAAGATCTTCCCAAGTACCGAGGTGAGGCTTACGGGCCTATAGTTACTTGGGTCCTCCTTCCTCCCTTTCTTAAAAATGGGGACCACATTAGCTAGTTTCCAATCCCCCGGCACCTCACCAGATGACCACAAATGCTCATACAGCCGGGCTAAGGGCTCTGCGATGACCCCTGCCAGCTCCCTCAGCACCCTTGGGTGGAGGGCATCTGGACCTACAGATTTAAAAATGTCTAGCCCTTCCAGAAGATCCCTAACTACACCTGCGCTGACCCAAGGCCTGACAGAGCTATCCCCAAGATTGTCCCTACTTCTGGTAGGAGGGATGTCTTGGTCCCTGTTCAGGAAAACAGAGGCAAAGAAACTGTTAAAAATATTAGCTTTCTCATCTGGCATGGCCACCAGAATACCGTTTGTGTCTTGCAGGGGCCCTACATTGCCTGGTGCCCTCTTCTTGCTCCCAATGTACTTGAAAAAGGACTTTTTATTGTCCTTAATCCTGGATGCTAGCCTGAGTTCCATCTCTACCTTGACCTTCCTAACAGCCGTCCTACACTCCCGGGCCGAGGACACACACTTCCATGTGCTCAGGGAGAGCAAGGTCTGACAGGAAGGGGAGGGGGAAAGGGCTGCCGGGGAAAAGGTTGGTCAGAGACACAAATTCAAGGCAAACCTTTAATAATTAGATTCTATACCTCGAAAATTATAACAGAATTATAAGTTTCCCATATACAGAATCTAATTATTGTGGGGGGGGGGGGCAGGAGGGAGGGGTGTCTTGTAATTTGGGCTGTCTTCTATTCACGTAAATATGTATGTTCCTATGAGAAAAGTGAAGAAAAAATAGGATACCCTTATACAATAATTTAGCCTCATTTCCATCCGCCTAATTTCTTGACACTAATTTTGCTGACTATTGTTAACTGCACAGCATCTGTTGTGAAAAGAGTTATAAACATGCATAGGGATTAATCAATACTGCATAACCTAGTAGTAATAATGGAGAGAGACGAGAGTGGAGGGAGACTGGAAAAAAAATCTTACATATGATCTTGCTTTATACTGAAGAAATTGTTTATAAAAGTCATTGTATTTATAAAATGAAGTCATGGGTGTTACAAAAAATAAAGCTTCTCTTTCACCTTTGAGTATGTGACAGAAGTTGGGGATATTTTGAGAGAAATTTGCAGGCCTATAAAAGATCTTTGCTTCTTATGAAATTGTGTCATTTGAGGCAAAAGCCCTTTGCTGACTGACCTGCTAAGCCTGCTAGTGCTTCAGCTAAAAATAGTTTTCAGGATTTATTTACCCTAGTAAAGCTACTGGTAAGCTTTAAGGCCAATTTTAAGTAAGAATTATCACGTCCTACATCCAAGTGTAGAATTACAATGTTCTATAATTAAAAAGCTAGCACAGGTATTATGCTAACACTTCCTTGTATGATTTTGGCAAAAGACATCCAGGAGAACTGTATATATAAAACAACTATGTTATGGATTTGAACCATTTTAAAATAAATGTGGGCACAGAGTTTCAGCCCAACGTGATTTGACAGCTGAGATACAGGGTTTTATAATTGAAATGCTGACAGATTCTTAACTCTAGTATTGCTGGCGAGACACTGTGACGACTAATAAGCACCTTAAATTTCATGCTGTTCAAGACTTTGGCAAGCCGCAGAGTAACACAATAAAACCTCACTGTTAAATTCTCAGGGGCTCTCACTGAATTCTTTACAGAAAAGATAAACAATCCAACTCTGTTGATCAGAACAGTGCACGTTTGTTTCTCCACCTCCCAAGTGTCAATGGGGATATAAAATGTAACACCATTGCAATTATTTATTAATGAAACAGTATAGTTCTTTTTATAACTCCTGATATTAATGTGCTATGAAACAGACTACAAACTAAGAAAGCTAAAAACAGGGAGAGCAACAATTTTAATTCCTGTTAGAGCTCAGATATCTCTTAATCCCAACACTCATGCCAATTTCAAGTAACTGTACTTGTTGCATGCCTTATTTTACCTGTAAAAACGTGGAATATTTCCTTATAAAATTTCAATAAGGTCAGTGCAAAGCCAAATGTGAAACAACATTTTACTTCTCTAAATGATTGCATTGGACAGCCACAGACAGTGCAGTGAGTGTTCCCATTTTTATGTTCCTACCTCCTCTCTATGCCAGGATAAAAACTTATTGTGGTGGAGAATATTTATGCTTAAAAGGATAAAGCACTGAGCAATAGAAAATAAATTCCAAAACTGTGATCCCATTTGTTAGATGGCTGCTTCGAGGCCTAGGGTGCGAATCAAAGCATAATTATTGTGTCATATAGGTATGCAATAAACATATTGACAAACAGCTGAGAAGGGAACAGATAATTAAATATTCAAAATTTAATCTGGAAACAAATGTCCTTTTCACGGATAAGCCGGGGGGGGGGGGAAGAACACTCACCTTGAGTAGATTTAAATTTGCCTTGGGGTTTACTGAGTGGTTTGCCTGGGGTGCTAGCTGGGGGTGGGTTGAACAATTTCTCTTCCATTTTTGCCTCCTTTACATATTGACATGATTTTCCCAGTAACACAATGCTATTAAGCACTTTGAGTGATATTAATCTGAAAAATTAAAAGGGAACACCTTACACATTTTGCATTACTGAATGCTCATATTACAACAGTTTGGGATGCAGCTGCTGTTCTCTTCAAGAACTGTTATTTGTTAGCTACCCCTTTCAACTGTAAGATTACACGTAGCTTCCTTTTCTTACAATTGTCAGACAAAAAACGCACACTAAGCTGGTTGCAGTGCTCCTAGAAGTCATTTGGACCTAGATAAGAATATTTTAGTTAGCAATTACATTTACATTAGTTAGCAATTTAGTTACATTTGTTTAGGCATTTAACATTGTTTGCTTAATAAAAATAGCATCAGCCTAAATCTAATATATTAAGTATTTAAACACATAATAGGAAATGCATATTGAAACTAACAGTAAATCCATAAAATACATTTTACATGACACCTTCAATTTTTGCTCAACTAGGGGTGATCTTGGCAACTTTCCAGTAACTCAAAGAGCTCACTCAGATTATGGTAGCCTCCAGTTTTCACAAGTGATGGTCCATGGACTCTACAAGTCCTGCATCTAGTAATTCACCTATAACATGTTGGGAGTAGTGTGGTCCAGCAGAGATCGAAGACCTGGGTTTCCTTTCCTACATCTGTCATTGATGTGTTGTGACGGCTTTAGTAAATGACAACTCTAGTTTCATCTTACCTGTAACACGGAATTAAGCTTACCCACCTTTGTAAAGGGCTTTGAAACGTAAGCATTAAGTATTGCTACTTGCAACAGAATATTACATATTCATTTCTGTAACATTTTCAGACCAAAACCTCCAGGATGAACACAGTTGAAGATTACAAAATAGGAACACAATGGTATAAGGAAGTCCGATTTTCTCTAGATAAAACCTAAGCAATTGTCTACGTTCATTTTAACCTACAGGACAAGCCAAGTGAACTTTTAAAACAGATTCTAAAATCCATTCATTTTTCAGCCCTAAATCAGGTTGACTTTGATTTTTACAAAGCCAATTCCAACCAGTCTGAATGTGGGTCCTGCATTTCATATAAAGGAACTGTAAGTACATTTTATTTCACTCTCTAAAACACCCTGGTAGAGGCTAGATGGAACCTTTCGCCACTGTTGAACAATAAGATTCCTGTAATAGTAAACAGGTAGGGAAGAATGCGGGGACAGTTAGTGAGGCCCTGAAAATCTATTTCTTTAGGAAATCTTAAAACACGAAGATAGTCTAAACACAGAAACCTTACTGCGGAAAAAACGTTTTCAGCAACTCAACTATATCACAATGCCTCAATATACTTAAAGGATGTCAAAGTAACAAGTAAGTCACAATAAGTTAAACCACATGTAAATACAAAATAATAAATATTCTGTAATTTTTATAAAAGAGTATTCTTTTCACCCCAGTATGAAGGAAATTCAAGAATGATACTCTGCATGCTCACTCCCTTTGTTTGAAAGCATCAGTCACCCTCTACACCCACTTACTCAACCTTCCCAGTCACAGCAAGTTATTGCTAACTGAACAGAAAGGCTGTGTAGGAGATGCAAATGTTCACCTGCTGAGTGCTGGACACTAAGACTGCAAGACTTACCGTTATACTATTATTTTTTCATACCTGAGCCAAAATTCAAAGTCTGAATGGAGGTAAGCACACATTTTACTGCATACCACAGCCACCTAGGATGGCATTACAATACATTTTACGTAAACTGCACCCATGTTAAGCATCACCAAAGAGCACCTGCCTTCCTTTTGGTCACTTTTTTTTAACCTTAAAGCATCAAACAAGCAAATGCTTTTCAGTAATTGCTTCTCATACTTACCCACAATAGAAGAGCACAACGCAGGCATAAGCCAAGACACCCTGGACTTTTATTGAGCTTGTTACGACTCTGATGAGCTATTTTGAAAATAAACATTAAACAGTTAAAGCACATTTCATACAAGTTAATAATTAGTAGAAAAAAAAACCCTATGTGTTTTTCATATCTGGGCAGGTTTGTGACAAAAATGGAAAGGTGTCTACTGAAAACACTGCTCTGTATTCCTCTTGGTATTGCTAAGTATTCAAAATTTTGTGTTTGAATACACTAGCATCTGTTCATGTACGACTTTGCAGTGCAGTTGTTTTTCTGCCAGCATGACAATCTGTTAATATATTAACAACTGGTATCAAGTTCAGTGTTATGACTTCACTGAAGAATCATAAGAGAAACAATGGCTGGAAGCGGATGCCAGTTGTTGGCACACATGTCTGAGGGAAAAATGAGTTACATAAAAGACAATGATAAAACAGAAGTGTAATGTTTCATTTTGAAAAGAAAGCTAGAATATTGAATTGTTTGGTGGAGTCAGTTGTATAAACTGTGAAATTTATCTGTGCAGAATCTGTACAAAAGGAAATCTTACGTTTGATTTCAATTTGTAGCAGCTAATGTCACAATTCAGAAAAGCATTTAAGGTGGTGTTTAAGACTCTCCAAACTCAGGACAGCATTTAAGAACTTGCTTAAGTTTAGAAATATATGCAAGTTCTAGCTGGAATGCAGATGTTTTTCCATTTCAAGGACAAAGCAAATAACTGTTGTGAGCATAGTAACTTCTGCTCCTAAATAAACTCTATTAGACATAAGTCAATATTTTGTTCCAGCTAGTGGGGCAACATTGTAACAAATATCCCACTATTTCACATAACTATTATGAAAATCTGCCGGCAGAATTAGTGCTTCTTCCCAATGTCATTGGCTAGGGACAGAATTTACACTTAAACCAGTACAAATGATCAGAAACTGGTTTAAACCTATAACAGAAGTTCAGTGCACTTAAACTGATTTCAAAATGGCCAAAACTGTTTTAAGATAAACCTGGCTGGATGAAGTACCAGACTGAACTGATTTAGGTCAAAGCAGTTTATGGAGCTTCTGTCCTAGACCCCCTCCAAGTATGGCCCAGGCTTCCCACTTGAGGCTAAGGCAGGGGACGGGGTAAACCTGGCCCACACAGGACTCTAGCTGGAGGCTGA